AGAAACAAGTACTATTCCTTTTTCAGTCTTCTTTATTTCTTAGATTACATTTTGTGAGTAGAGATAAGGTTAGTGGGACAGAGGGATTACCTAATCACTCTTTTTACTATAACTTTTTTTTTTTTTAACTGGAGATGGTTTAACATGTACCGTTGTGAAAACTGCATTGCTGTGGCAACCTGCAAAAGAAAAAAAAATCACTGGAGGTACATCACATACATACTGACATGTAAGCACTCACATGAGGTTTTTCTTGAAATACAAAAACATCTCCAGATTTTCTGTTTCTTATATATAATTTAGGCATAGGCTGAATATAAAGAATCTCCTTTCTTGAATATTTACATTCTTATCTAACTGTAACTGCCTTAACCCTGCATGAACTCTAGCTGTGCCAAAGTGACATGCATTTTAACTGAGCAGCATTCTCTTAACTTCTTGAAATTAAATGAACATTTCCTGATTTTTTCCCTACATGGAAGTGCTGTAAGCTAGTATGTATCCTATATCCTTTTTGAAGTCATTCATTATTAAAAAAATGTGATTTAATTGTTAAATACCAATGCATACATCAAATATACATAAATGTCAAATGTTCTTATGTTAAATACCAGAAGCCTGATTATTCGAGCACTCAGAAATACAGATTTTAAATGCTCAGTCACTGCACGTTAACTAAAAGAATGACGAACAACTCACATTAAACTGTATGCCTTATTTTTAGTTACTTTTATATCATATCAGTAGTGTTCTTCTTCTGATACAAGCCTTTGCACTCATTTTACTGTCACACTAGCATTACTTATCCCATAGCTAGAGAATGTAATCTGGAATATATTTTTAACATCTTTTTTCAGCTAAGCAATGGCCTTTGTGATTTGTTTGGAAGAAAAAAGTGCTAACTGTCCCAGGCTTGAACCAGCTGAAGGACAGAATAGAGCATTTCCCAAGAGGAAATTCTCAGAACAGCCCATTTGCTAGGTCTTTCCCCTTTAAAGTTTACAGAGCTTCCCCACAGCCCTTA